TTTTAAATAAAAACATAGGTAATCGTTCGCTTTAAGAAAATAAACACTTCCAAAGCTCTTTCTACCCAAGCAAGAGCTGCCGGGGCTGGCGTATTTATTTGCAACTGGGAAGAGATGCCAATATGGTGAATAAGGCAAAAACGTTGCAGGCGGAGCGGCCGCGGCCTTCGCGCGGCTCCAGCTGAAATCTGTGCCTGCCATCTGGCAAAAATAAGCACAAAAGGAAAAAAAAAACAACCCAAACCCCCCCTTTGCAGAGAGTTCACGCTGAACTGCTCAAGACGGCAGAGGTTAGAGTTTGTTCAATCGCTGAAAGATTGCTTCCCCTTCCCGGGTCAGCATCACCTCTTGACCTGCCCTGATTACCTTCCAAAGGAGGTTATCAAGATACAAGACTAACAGAGGATTAAAGGAAACTTAAAATAAAAACAAAACACCCCCCCCTTCCCCCAACTCTGCTCCCCTCCCCCAAGAAAACATCCTTGCTTTGTTAACCTGACAGCTCACTGTAGGTGTTGACACAACCCTCCATCTCTGAAAAGCTTAATGTCAACAAATCAGTGTGTTTGGAGTAGCCCTGTCAATGCGATTTACATTAACTTGTCTAACAAGAAATAAAAACAACAATCAGCCATCAAAGACAAAAGGCTTTTTCAGTCATTCTTTTAAAAGTATTACGCTGGAAATGTTAATTTTTGAGGCCATGGCCCTTTACTTGCTGAAAACCAGAAACCACCTTTTTTTTTTTTTTCCTAAAATACTTTTTTTTTTTAAGAGGGTTTTTTTTTTAAAAAAAAAAAAGTATTTTCTTTTAAAAGAGGCCCAAGCACCCCACGTTAATAAGCTCAGCAGCAGCAGTAACCGACTCTCCCTGGTTAACGCAGGAAGACGGCAGCCTTGAAGCCAAATGTTAATTATGCTTTGATTTCCACCAGCCTGTTATTTGCTTTGAGACATTTTGGGCACTTAGCAGAGCATTTTCGAATTGTGGCTCTAAACCACCATGAAAATTTCATGCAGCAGTGGTATGCACCAAAACCCCGTTAACTTCACCATGAACTTCTCCTGCCCCCCGGCACACGCTGTACCCACCAGCATGCCCTTTGCAGCCGGGGGCTCAGTGTCCTGAAGCAAAGCTGGAAAAAGCAAATCAATTCCAGGGATTCCTAATGTCAAGTGGTTTCCACCATCTCCCACAACGTCTACTTAGATGCTCTAAAGGAAAAATTAGGGATTGCAATTCCTGCTTGAACGCTAGAGAAAGTGGAGACTCTCTAAGCCACTCCACAAGCCAGGACTAGCTTTGGTCTGGGCTATTTTTCCTGCTTGAGCAGGGGGGTTGGGATGACTTGCTTGCCCAGAGAGGTGGTAGATGCCCCATCCCTGGAAAAATTCAAGGTCAGGTTGGACGGGGCTCTGCGCAACCTGCTCTAGTTGTAGATGTCCCTGCCCATGGCAGGGGGGTTGGACTAGATGACCTTTAAAGGTCCCTTTCAACCCAAACTATTCTATGATTCTATGACCTCCAGAGGTCCCTTCCAACCTCAACCCTTCTGGGATTCACCCTAATAAATACAGGAAAAATTCAGCCTCATGTATCCAAAAAGGGAAACACAAAACCTAATGCCCAAACCTTGGCTTGGAGTCGCCTTTTAGCTCCCTCAGCATCTCTGCTCCTCTTCACCCCCTCTCCAAAACATTGACTTGAGTCAACTGGACCCTTCAAGGGCATTTGATCTGCCTTGCGGCGAGCTGGAGCCTTGACCCCAGAAGGGTTTCCTGCAGATGAGCAGCCCCGTCCGAGACAATGGGATTACTCACACCCGTCAAGTTAAGGAGCCGCCTGCATTTTTGCAGGCTCAGGACTTTCGGCTCCGTTCTATTACAGGACACCGCTTTTTGTTGGTGTAATTTTAACACGGTAACCGCCAACATGCCCAGGCTGAGTTTCTTTGATCAGCAGGTGAAGGTTTTTCTCAGTGTAATTACTGTCGTGACAAAAGGCAGGTGAGTAGCTCAGCTCCTGCCACTTAGTCATCTCCTGAGACTGCCACTCTTTTCTCCTAAAAAACTGCTGCTAGTTCAAATACTCAGAGAGCGCTTCTCACTTATTTTAAAAACGTGTAAATTCAGTCAACGTGAAGGTACCGGCCCTGGAAGACAGGGGCATTTCCAAACCAGGAAAGGACACGAGAACAGGAAGGGACAGTGTTGTGTGGATGCCACTTCTAGGGACAAGAAGATGCTCCACTCTCCAAGGATGCACAGTCACTTGCTTTTCTTCGCGAGCTACTGGCAGTGTGGAAATCCTATATTTTATACCTGGAACAGGCTGCAAACTCATTTCAAACTGGGCAGCAACTCCTTTTAGATTGTAACGCTATGGTGCTAATAATTTGGGCTGGATTCGGACCAGCAGTATAGAAACAGCTCTACCTTGCCACTAGCAATCCTCCAACATCCTCTTTTACATATAATTCACTCTTTTTGGAGATAGTTCCTTTCCCTCTTGAACCCCTCTAACCCTTTCATTTCACAAACGAAGCTCATCCCACATAACTGGTGCTTTCATAAACGTCTCCGTCATTTTTCTGCATTGGTTTAGGCAGATGGGGGCTTCTACACGCCTTATCTCCTACATTTCATTTAGCAAAGTGCAGAAATTTTAATGTGTTTCTAAATAAGCCGCTGGAAAAAGGCCCTTGCACCCTACAAGAACAAACCAGCAGACACACCAAGGAAGCTGGGTGCCTTTTCAACGTACCCCGATTTTTTTTTCTGCGTCGTTCTCACCCACTGGTGCCTGCAGGATACGCAGGGACCCATCAGCAACGTTCAATGACGGCATCTTCATAGCGCTCCTCTAAAGGAAGAAACTCCAATATATATTAAAAAAAAATCCCAAACCTACATCTCTGTCCTGGTTTCGGTTGGGATAATTTTCTTCCTAATAGCTGGTATAGTGCTGTGTTTTGGGTTTGGTATGAGAAGAATGTTGATAACACACCGACGTTTTAGTTGTTGCTAAGTAGTGTTTACGCTGGTCAAGGACTTTTCAGCTTCCCGTGCTCTGCCAGGTGCACAAGAAGCTGGGAGGGAGCACAGCCAGGACAGCTGACCCAACTGACCAAAGGGATATTCCATACCATATGATGTCATGCTCAGTATATAAGCTGGGGGAAGAAGAAGGAAGGGGGGACGTTCTGCGTGATGGTGTTTGTCTTCCCAAGTCACCGTTACGCGTGATGGAGCCCTGCTGTCCTGGAGATGGCTGAACACCTGCCTGCCGATGGGAAGCAGTGAATGAATTCCTTGTTTTGCTTTGCTTGTATGCACGGCTTTTGCTTTCCCTATTGAACTGTCTTTATCTCAACCCCCGAGTTTTCTCAC